GCCCCTTCTCAGTTCCAGTCTCCTTCCTCTAGGATTGCAGGAAGGCACTCTAGGGTCTAGTGGGGCCCCCACTTCTAGTGGGGCTAGCCTCAGGTTTCTACCCAGGCTCCTATGGCACCCCATTGGTTCCTCACCCCTACTTCCCAGCTCTGGGCTGCTTAAGAGGAGGCTCTAAGAATTGCTGGAGGGTCTTGTAGCCACAGAAAGGAGTTGAGGTTTTACAGGCAAGTGAGATGAAGTCAGAGCAGGCTGTGCAGAGCAGACGAGACTCTCAGGGTCACCAGCGGGTGGCAGCCTAGAGCTGGTTTTGGCCCACCGGGAATTCCCACGCTCCAGGGGAGTCTTTGCCACTGCCCCTCGAGGGCTGTGTGTTCTGGGCCCTGGAGAAGAGATTGGGGTTTGGTGACTAAGATTATGTCCCTAAGGTGAATCAGAGAGATCAAGACATAGTGACAAAATGGGAGGGAGAGCAAGAGGCTCTCCGTGGCCACGGCTTCCCAAAGTTTCTCAGAGGCCAGCCAAAGTCATATAAATAGGCTTCTTGCAAAGACAAAACAAAGCCAGTCAAAAGGACTTACTGGCTTACTCGGTAAATGTTCAAATGCAGGATGTTTACAAGGATGGAAGGATGGATAGCCTAGTGGGGTCAGGGAAGAGAAAGCAGAGGGGGTCGCCCTCTCTCCTCTATTCTTGACTCCACTGCCATCTTTGTGTCACTTCCACTTCAGGCAGGCTCTGGTTTTCTTCAGCTACTCTGTACTACACCAGCTTCACTTACAGCTGAGAGGCAGGTGCATCCCAGAGCCCAGTGAATGTCCCTGAATTACTGGCTGGTTTTGGTGGATACTTAAAGGCCAGCTCTGAGTTCTGCCTTGCCAAGGTCTATGCCAGTCAGCCACTGTAGTTCTGGGAGGGGGCCACATCTACTGAACCCCACAGGCCTAAACTAAAGACCAGGTTCTGGGAAGGCACAGGTGACAGCTGTCCACCCCTCCAAAGGTTTGGTCAATTGCACTGGCACTGTGAAGGAAGACCAACTGTCCTGCATAACTGTGTTTCTACCTCTTTAATCTCTTCTCCGAGTCCTGCTAAGTTTATCTAATTCCAGGAACAGTGAGCTCCCCAGACTTCCACCCTTTGACTGGAAGTGACCTGCCCTTCTCAAGCACAAACACTCTTCTCCTAAACAAGAGACAAATTGCCTTTAATAATGGTGCCCTGGAGCCAACAGGACCCAGTACCAGACCTGAGATAGTCATCAGCCAGACCATTACTGGACCAAGAATGCTTGGCTATGCACTTTCCTCACCCTCCACTTTGGTTCTGCCTCCGTATACCCTGAAGCTGCGGTAACAATCCAAAGCCAGGGATCAGGGCTTTGGTACTTACTCCATCCCAGTGTGGCTATCCTGGGTAAAAATCACTTGTTTGCTTCGCTACCAGCCATCTTTTTCTGATTGAACTCTTGGCTGACCCTGGTTAGGTACCTTTGGCCAAGGACTCCAGGAAACAATTCCTATCCCTGCGGAGACACAATCTTTGCCCTAATTCCATTGGAACCTAGTGCTATTCAGCATCTGGAACAGTGTGCATAAAAGAATTCTTGAGTGGGTGAGTGAAATAGTGAATGGATGAATGAATGAATGAATGAATGAATGAACAAAATGCTTGCTATAGCCTGACACCAGACAATTGCAGCCTGGGTACTTTTCTAGGATTATGGTGTCACTAGTTACTCTTCTATTACTGTGAAGAGACACCGTGTGCTAGGCACTGATAAAAAAGAAAGCCCTAAATTAGGGTCTTGTTTATGGTTTCAGAGGGTGAGTCTGTGACCATCATGGCAGGGAGCATGGCAGCACGCAGGCCGGCACGGTGCTGGGGCAGTAGCTGAGAACTTACATCGTATTCACGATTTGGAGGCAGAGAGAGAAATCACTCCAGCAAGTTATCGAGCAAACACAAATAGGCCTAACACGGGCTTTTGAAATCTCAACTCCACCCCACCAACAATGACACACTTCCTCCAACAAGGCCATACCTCCGAATCTTTCCCAAAACAGTTCTACCAACTAGGGACCAATCATTCAAATATGTGAGCCTATGGAGGCCATTCTCATTCAAGCCACCACATATGTAACAAATTTCTACAAATAAGGTGACTTTGGGTAACTGAAGTTCATCTTTTCCCAACTCTAGATGCTGAAGCCCACTCAGGCACCTGCAGGGCCACACAATTCCCAGGAAGGCCCCAGAAGAAATCTTCCTAACCTCTTCCAGCTGCTGGTGGCCAACAAACTCCCATGGAATGCTGTCCTCTGGGTATGGCATGGCTGTTTTGAAATCAGAGCAGCTGTGAATACCTGCACAGGACCCTCACAAGCTTGGGCTGAATAACATTTCGGAAGGCTCACAGGGCATACATGGCGTTTGTACAAGGGTTCGGGAGTGACTCATGAGGCTGCATGTGAAACGCTGGAGTCCTTGCCTCTCCCTGAGGGTTACATAAATAGGTTATGAAAGTTGGCCATAGGGGATGTTTCTCTGGTTATAGAGCTCCTCAAAAGTTGCTCATTTTCCCACTCTGTACCCCCTCATGCTTCTAGAAAGAACCCTAGTTAGAGCCGGCTTGATGGTTCCATGGGTAAAGGCACTTGCTACCAAGCCTGATGTCCTGAGTTTGATCCCTAGAAACCACATAGTAGATGAAAACCAACCCTCACAAGTTTCATCCAGGGACTTAAACAAGAAAATTTCCTTCCCTCTGTAACAGGAACCCCAACGCTCTGCTGTTTGGGCTTCACGTCTTCCTAAGGCTTTTGTGGGAAAGGTTGAAACTGAAACCAGGTGTCATGAGAATTTCAATCTGGCCTCACCTCTGTTCCCTCGGGTCCTTATCTCTGTAGAAAGAATTCAGAGATTCACAGAGTGTGGTGAAGAAGACGTAGTTTATTGCAAAGGAAATGAAAGCTTGCTTATGAGCAGTGAGAACGAATGACTGGAGACACCAATGCACCGATGCATTTATAGGGAGACTTTACGTTGTTTCTAAAGGCTCTGGAATAGTTAGTTTTCCCCAAGTGATTGACAGGCCCATTTGGTTTGACTTTTTGGAGAAGATAATGGGATATGAAGTGTTCATCTGAACTCATAAGCATTGTGCAAGGTTTGCGGCTCCTGGAAGTATGTTTAGCTAATTATTAGTTAATAACGACCAGGCAGTTCTGGTACTTAATCCTGGGAGATGATTCAGGTCGCATTCCTCCTATCAGTAACATCCTACAGTTCTGGTCCTTCTCTCTACAAATGTACGTAGGAGGGAGGGGTCAAGCCCTAATGTCCTTCAAGGTGGCTAGCTATGTGACATAGTAAGTGACATGTGGGCCAAAGCAACAACCATGAATCCCTGGCCAGGTGGCAGAGAGTAGCAAAATCTTGTCTGAGAGGGACAACCTGGACTCAGCCAGTGGCTGTCACATGGAAAGTAGCACCCATCGTTGCCAGGTCTAGGAATTTTTTTTTTTTTAACAAAACCAGAAAGTCTGATTTTTACATAAGGCTTCCCAAATTTCAAAATGCTATTCAGCCCACAAGCCACGAGTTTGCAACCCCTGTTTAAGTGAGACAACTTTTTCCACTTTTCACTATTCGCTCTCCAACTTGGCTCTCTGGCTGTCCACAAGACTTGTTGGCCAGAAGCCAAATGGGGCTGGGCCAGCAGGCAATCCCCACTCCCCAGAGGTCTGCCCCTCCCCATCTCCACCAAAGCCTGGGCTGTCCACTCAGATGGCCCAGTTCTCTCCTACAGATCCTGGTCCCAAGGGACTCCTTGCAGCTGACCCTGGCAAGCCCATTCTACAGCCTGCTGGGCAAGCCTGAACTTGTCAGAAGCCCACTGAGACCCAAGCCACTGAGCTTTTCCAAGCCCTGGGATAGAAAGCTCACTCTTCATGATCTCCAAGACCCTTCAGGCAGGATGATGCTGGTTATCTCAGCACATGACCTAGTTCCTTTAATTAGTCCCAGCTCACCCTAATCCCACCTCCTTTTTCTCAAGCTTGTCCTTGATGACCCCTTGGGCAGGATAGCCTCTACCTTTAAGATAGGGCAAACTTCCTTTTCTGATAAATATTACTGGAAATGTCTTAACTGCTCTCACCCTGCTCCCCCTGTGCTCTTTCAGAAAATCACTTCTTCCAAGAAGCTTTTCTGGAATATCCATATTAGTTGGGGGAGGGGGCAGCAAGATCAGACTCGATTGTCTTTCCCAAGAAAGATGACATTTCTCTGGGGAGAGCACTGTGTTCTTCGTTGTATTGTGTTCTACCGAGGACTACCACTGAAACCAAGCAAATGCTTACATTGGGAAAGGAAGGAAGGAAGGAAGGAAGGAAGGAAGGAAGGAAGGAAGGAAGGAAGGAAGGAAGGGAAGTCAACTAGATTCTATTAGCTTGTATCTGATTCTTTCTACCTCTATTGATTTCCTCTCTTGTGTCTCCATGGCTGATTATCCAAAATTTCTGCTTTGGACCATCAATAAAGGTCGGGGGTCTCTTATTTCTAACCATCACTTTTCTGACCTCTGTCTCTGGGAGCTCAGTGTCCTGTTCTGGATATCCCTTCAAAGACAAGGCTACCATCCAGTCTCTAAACAGCAAGAGCCTACAAGGAGCTAGCATCATTTGTTTAGTGCCAGCGGTCCTTAGCTGTGCTCCTGGAAAGGAGCTTGTAGAAGAAGCCGGGTGTACAGGAGGAGTGGTGGAGAAGGCCACCAGCTAGCGAGCTAGGAGACCCTGGGTATCTGGAGGCAGAAGGGGGATGGGAAATGGAAGAAGAGGTAGGAAGAATCTGAGAAGGGAGAGTGGGGGTTGGGGAGCCGAGGGGCGGGTCGAACTGGGCCATCCCTCTCATCCCCTCATTTCCCCACCCTCCCCACTCCACCCGGTGCTGCCAGCACTCTTCCAGCCCAGCCGGCCACATCTGGCGTCTGCCCGCCCTTGTTTCCGCTGCATCCAGACTTCCCCTCGGGTGGCTGGAGGCTGTGTGTGCATCCAGGGCTTTAAATATACAAAGGGATTGCCAGGACCTGCAAGCACCCGCGGCAGTGGCGCGTGTTGGGACGCGGGGGTCCCGTTATGAGCCCCTGAAACCTGCGAAGCAGAGGCAATTGAGTAAGGCGATCTCCGCACACCGAGCAGAGCAGGCGCCATCGGGCGGACCCCAGCACACAGCCAGCGACCTCAGGGTGACACGCGGAGCCCGGGAGCGCAACGATGGAGGCACCAGTGGCCTGGAGAGCGCTCACCGGCCCTCTGCGGGTTCTCTGCGTCCTGTGCTGCCTGCTGGGCCGCACCTTCGCTGCACCATCGCCCATCATCAAGTTCCCCGGCGATGTCGCCCCCAAAACAGACAAAGAGTTGGCAGTGGTAAGTTGCTACGCTGGCTTCACCGAGCCAAGTTTAAACAAACTTAGGAAGCGGAGGACACAGGCCCACCCTCCTTTTGACCCCCTCTGCCGGCACACAGCTTCGCCGGGAGGGACTTGGGTAAACATCTTCGAGGGTCTCCTTCTTGGCTAGTTGATGGAGGGGATGGCTTTTGTAAATGATGGGGAGGGGCTTTAAGAAGAGGAGGCCTTTGATAAGTAACTTGGAGAAGTTCGGGGCTACATTCAAGGGACCAAGAAGGAGCAAAGGAAGGAGGTGATTGCCTTGAAAAACATCTGGAAAGGGTTGTTTTTGTGAATAACAGGGACTTTGTCTTCTCAAGGGATTTGGTTCTAGGCGGTCGTTATGAATGTCTTTTGGACGCATCAGGAGAGTTGGCAACAAAGCCTCTGGCAGGCGTCTTGGCAGACCTTTAGGACAATCAGTTTAAGGGGGAATCTTTTGAAAATGGAGGGGTGGTGGTACTTTGGCATATAATTTATATAAACCTTTGCACATAAAAGAATAGCCAGAGCAAGGTTTGGCAAACTTCTGGGAAACTTTGGCATGCATCTGGAGAATGGCCCTTGGTGAGACTCTAGGGGGGACCGTTTGGCAAGTAATTAAGGCTAGAGGGAGGCAGAAAGTGCATTTTTGGTGCCTTGGTTGAAAGGCAGAAGTTATTCAGGAGGGTCCGGGTAGAGTTTCTTGAAACTTTTCCCTGGGGTCAGAGGAAGCAAGGAAACAACCCTCCAGGCAGGCGCAGAGGGCCTGGGCGCGTGGGGCGGGGGCGGACTGAGCCTGGCTGGGGTCGGCCAGCGGCCAGCACGACCTCCTTCTTGGCCAGGCTCCCTAGCTGAGGCTCAGATGTTGTTGTGTGAGCGTGCGCCTGTCTCTAAGGCGCCCTGGCAGCAGCATCGCATAAGTTAGATCAGGAGACTGCTGCAAGGCAATCCCCACAGTAAGGAGCAGGCACCTTTCGCCAGCCATCGGCCATGCGATGCCTTAGACGCTTTGCTGGTCTCAGGACGTTTGTACCTTTATTGCCTTTATTTAGTCATTCTAGAAATCCTCCAGCAGCCTCCTTCCCAGTCTACCAGAACTAGGAATCACATGCCCTTGGGGACACCAACTCTCTTTCCCCAACCCTGCCTTACAACAGCGATTCTGAACCTGTGGGTCGCCACCTCTTGGGTGTGTGAAAAGACGCAAATAATATACCCTGCAAGTCAGACAGTAAAAGTGAAAACATGTACAGTTGTGAAGTAGCTGTGAAAATAAATTTTATGGTTGGGGGGGGGTCACCAAAACATGTATTAAGGGGTCTAAAGTATCGGTGACATGCCCGTTGGCTGAAATTGAGAGGGGGAGCAGTTACCTGGGTCCCCTTGCCTTCTGCTGCCTAAGGAAGTCTTTACTGACCGAAGGCAGTGCAGGCGGAGGTGTGTGTAGGGAGAGGAGGGGGCTCCGACCAAGTAGTACACACATGGGGAGACTGAGGCAAGAAACCTCCTGGGTTCAACTTAAAGTGAAAAAGGTCCCAAAACAAAAAAGAAAAAAAGGAGAGGGCTTTGAACTTAGGGGACTCCCTGCAAGTCCTCTCAGGGAGTGTGTCAGCCTTCCGGCCTGGTGATCTCAGATGACTGTTTTAACTTCCGGAGTGGCTGGTGTTTTTTGTGTCTGTTTGTTTGTTTGTATGCTGTTTCTTTTTAATTTAAATTTCTTTTGTATTATTTATTCACTTTACATCCTGATTGTAGCCCCCTCCCAGTCCCACCTTCCTCCCCTCTTCCCTCTTATCCCCCCTACCCTATTCTTCAGAAAGGGGAACCCTCCTCCTCGATCATCTTACCTGAGCCTGTCAAGTCTCGTTAGGACTGAAGGGCTGTTTCACTGAAGTCAGAGGGCCATAGTGGCAGCATATTGGTGATAAGTGGGCAGGTGCTCTTAGATACTTAGAAGAGTGTCTGGCACTTTGGAAGCACTCAGTTCAGGTCAGGCATTATTACTGCTGTATCACCATTGCCGTCATCACTGTCATGCCCCCTTTCCTCCCTTTGCTGAGTGCCACCAAGCAAGTAAGAACCAGTCGTGATAACTTCTGGCTCCCTTTCACCATTCCAGCCAAACCTTCCCTTGTATTTAAGTTTGCATCTGTTTGTGAACCACCCATGTTCTTGCAATGGGTTTTGAAACTTACAGACTAGAAGTGCCTGCCTTGATCATCTGTTTACCCCAGCAGGAGCACAAAGGTTGACGCATGGTAGATATCAAACAGTGCTTGCTGAGCAGCTGGTTGGGAGTGTGCAGGAGAACCCCCTGAAGAGTAAGACCAGGACCTTTTTAGAAGTGATGGACCTAAGATTTGAACTCAGGTCTGCTACCAGACCCCCTGCACACAATCCTTGAATTTCTTCATAAGAAAAAAAAATGAGGAAGATGATGTATGTGTAGGTCTGTTGCTGGGGAGGGGTTCAATTGCATAGATGCTGGGGTGTCCAGGTTCAAATATGGGCTCTGGAGTATGATTGCTTGGTGTCAAGTGTGGGTCTGCCATCTGTGAGTGGTGTCACCGTTAGCAAGTTCTTAAACTGCTTTTTCTTAGATTCTCCCTCTGCATGACAGGAAGTGTGTGTGTGTGTGTGTGTGTGTGTGTGTGTGTTTAACATAAGTTATCATCTGCTAAATTCAGGGAAATAAAATGTGGTAGCTATGCCATTTACAAATGCATCATTCCACTAGTGGGTGACAGAACTCATTGGGGAGCCTAAGATCCACTCAGTGTCTTTGAGCTCCTTGATTTCATCCTGTCCCAGTTAGGTAATCTTTGGGGGAGCAGTTGGGGCTTTGTACTTTGCCATGCCACTGTGGCTCTTGGCTTTGAGACTGCCTGTCTCTTTCAGCAATACCTGAACACTTTCTACGGCTGCCCCAAGGAGAGTTGCAACCTCTTCGTGCTGAAGGATACCCTTAAGAAGATGCAGAAGTTCTTTGGGCTGCCCCAGACAGGTGACCTTGACCAGAACACCATTGAGACCATGCGGAAGCCGAGATGTGGTAACCCAGATGTGGCCAACTACAACTTCTTCCCCCGCAAGCCCAAGTGGGACAAGAACCAGATCACATACAGGTGCCAGTGAGGGACCGGGGTGGCAGACCGAGGGATGTGTGTGTCCTTAGGAATTGCCTTCTCAATTCAGGGGGTCCATGAGGTGTCATTACTGGGAGCTGAACATCCATGCACTTTGCATACAGAGTTCTTGGTGAGTGGAGCCAGGCAGACCTAGACTTGAGTCTCATATTCACTAACCATGGCCTTATTCTGTGCTTTGACTTGGTATCCTTGCCTATGGAACAGGACTAAGAAATCTGCTCCTCATAGGGGTGGTTAGGAAACTAAATTAGATTTACAATGCAAATTAAAGATTTACAGTGTTTGTTGCAGAGCAAGGGTCTGCAAAGTATTGATGGCTGTTATTGTCATCTGGGTCATTGGGTAGGTGGAGGAAGCTTGATGTTCATCTGATAACTGTGTTTTTGATCTAGTGTTGTTATGATTGGCTGCTAATTGGGTTAAGACCTCCACTCTATGTGGCTGGTACTGATCAAGGGTAGGATCTTTGCCCTTTGTCTGATATCATGCTGTTTGTGTCCCTGGTGCTCTTGAACGAGAATGAGAGACAAGAAGGTCTGAGATTCTGGAGACATCAGGGCACTATGAGGGGGTGTTCTTAGTGACCTGTGCTCAACACATTAGAACACTTACACACACTCATGCACACACGCTGCGCACATAGACACTTGTGCTGCTGTGCATATGAACATAGTCATATGCATTTCTACCCCCTCTAGGATCATAGGTTACACACCCGACCTGGACCCTGAGACAGTGGATGATGCCTTTGCTCGGGCTTTACAAGTATGGAGTGATGTGACTCCACTACGCTTTTCTCGAATCCATGATGGGGAAGCTGACATCATGATCAACTTTGGCCGCTGGGGTAGGCAGACAGGGGCTGGAGAGTTGGGTAGCAGAGAGACAATGGGCATGGGTAGACATTTGAGGAGTGTGGGGATCCTGAGGGCAGCTTGCCAAGAAGGTTTGGATGTGGGTTAGACAGGAGCTAGAAGAGCATGTCCCAGACCCGGGAGAGCCACTGCTGTGAGAGCAGAGGATGCAGTGCAGTGTGCCCGGCGTGCAGTGAGAACCTACTGTACCCTATAAGTGACATCTCATAAGTGCACATGGCTACTTAGATTTAAAGTAATAAGAAAGACCTTTTTATTTAAAATTCAGTATGGTCACAATAGCAACCATGGAAGGAAGTGGACTAGAATCCGGGGCTAAGCTACCATAGAAGCTATTGGTATGAACTGGCAGCAACATAAACATGAAGGCCGGTGGTACGGATCCTAGGTGCTAATGCAGTGAAGGCAGAGGGCAGAGGAAGAGCAGCGTAGACGTGGGAGTAAGTTGGGTGAATATTAGGCCTGAAGGCTAGCTCTGTGGATAGTGATAGCATGATAGGGCCTGGTGAGGAAGACAGCCTTGGTGGGAGGGTGTGGGTGTCAGGAGGGTATGTGCTTCTCATGCTGTGGTGGCACTGTAGGCGTGTGGGTGGGTGCTGATGGCAATGATCACAGCAAAGGGAAATCTGAGGTGAAGGTGAGAGGAGTAAGCCAGAGCTTTCCCACTGACTCCCTGCAATGCTATTTTACATAACCCCAATGGGAGAAAGGAAGTGGAGAGGTTTTTGGAAGGCTAAGGAGCTCCAAACACAGATTAAGGTGTAGCTGGGCTTAAGGACCGAGGGGGCGGGGGGAAGATAAAGCTAAGAATCAATGTGGGTTTCAGAACATGGAGATGGATACCCATTTGATGGCAAGGATGGACTCCTGGCACATGCCTTCGCCCCAGGCACTGGTGTTGGGGGAGATTCTCACTTTGATGATGATGAGCTGTGGACCCTGGGGGAAGGGCAAGGTAAGACAGCCTCCATAGGTGGCGTTCTTCCCTGTCTCCTAGCAACCTAAACTAACCTTAAGCCCTTCATTTCCTGTGATGGGATCAGGGTAACAGGAGCGGGAGGGAAGTCAGCCTCGGGGTGAGCCCACAGCCCTGTGTCTGAGGAAGGCCCTGAAAAGGTGGGTCCCATGCTCTGTGTGCCCTGCAGTGGTCCGGGTAAAGTACGGCAATGCTGATGGCGAGTACTGCAAGTTCCCCTTCCTGTTCAATGGTCGGGAATACAGCAGCTGCACTGACACCGGCCGCAGTGATGGCTTCCTCTGGTGCTCCACCACGTATAACTTCGAAAAGGATGGCAAGTACGGCTTCTGCCCCCATGAAGGTGAGCGTCTATTCTGGCCCCAACCCTCATCCTACCCATGTAGGTCTCCAGCCTGCATGGGTTTCTGCTCTGCCTACACCTTCCACATTCCACAGGCCAGTCAACCTTGATCCGCTCATCCCAAGTGTCCAATATCTTGATATCAGCCATCCTTACCTCCCGCCTCCACTGTATTGCTTAAGGACAGGCACTCAATCTAAGCAATGAGTAGTTTTGCCAGTTTATCATCACTGTGTGAACACAGTATCCTTACACAGGCTGAGAAGGGTACAAAGTTACCAGTCAGCCTGACCTTGTGGGACCACTGTCACAGGGGACCACCACCATGGGTGTGGTCTGGTCTAACTTAAATGCTACTTTTGTGCTACATAACCATATGTACTTCCTTCATATTTACCTAACTCACTAAGTGAGTTTTTAAAAGTCTCACTATTAGCAGTATTATTTGTGAAATCGTGGATTTGACATATTGATTATTGTTTCTAACATACAAGAGAATGACCTTAGATGTTTCTCGGTTGTTTCTGGGGCCGCTTTACACTCCGAAAAAAGACCTAAGGCTCAAGGACAGCAGAGCTGGAGAAGAGAGACGAGGCAAAGAGACAGATCAAGAGCTTAGCAGTGGGAGGAGAAGAGGGCTCAGTCCAAGCTAGTACCTGATCCAAGTAGGGACTCCAGTGTGAAAATAAGAGCCATCCCTCTCCCACTGGTCCCACTGCACTAAAGAGAGTCACTTTGAGTGGTCACAACTATGGCATCTGACTCTGTTTGTCCCTGTGTCAGCCAGAGGCATCCAGCTCCATTCAGTATTTGTGTATGTGTGTGTATGTGCTCATCAGAGCTTGAAACATTTACCCCCTTCTACCATCTATTGAGCTAAAAGTGTGAAAAGGGGAAGGGTATTGATGTACATTCAATCAACTTTGAAAGCTTCCTGGACACAGTTTCTAATCATAAATCTTTTTAAATGTATGTATAACATCATATTTGGCCAGGGCATCTCACTTAATGGTTCTAGAGATCAGAAGCCCAGAAAATGTTGGAGAAATGGGAAAAAATACAAACATACTTCTAAGTATTAGCTTATCCCCCAGCCCATAAAGACTTTCCGGGGTCAGAGACTGAGGACAGTCTGTTTGGGGTCAGGAGGTACTATAATTGTGTATGTTTGTGACTCTTGCTGTTCCTATTGCAACATAACACTAGCACCAGTCATCTGGGTAGAAGGGAAGAAACAAAGAGTTTCTAATTGGCTTCCTGTTTACATTTCTTCTTCTCCTTCTTTCTTTGTTGGGGAGCTTCAACCCATGACCCCACACATGCTAGAGATGCTCTCCTCCACCACTGAGCTCTATCCACAGCCTTGTTTATGCTTTTATCACCAACGCTAAACTTTGTGCTAAGACTCAAAGCTATTGACTATTAGTAACTCAGAGATTTTTAAATACAAGTCTTGAGTTTCCCAGTAGGACATGGGGAAAGACAGAAACCCTTTCCTGAATCAGCCCATCTGTTGGAACAGGCTTCGTGAATAGATATGGAAAACAGCCTCGAACTTCATAAGCTTGGAAAGGTTCCCTCTGTGTCAGGCATTGGCCATTTATTTGGTCCTTAGCCAGGTGCAAGTACGCACAATGCACATGTGTTTGGGTCTTGGGGTAGCAATTCTGGTTACTCAGCCCCTTCTGACTGCTGATTCAGTGTCTGTTCCCTGACCTTCTCTTTGGGAAGAGGGTGGGTCCCAGAGGAGATGGACTTTCTGGGTGGTAGCAACACAGCTGGTGGGATCAAAGTTATCACTTTATCCTTCCTGACTCTGAATTGCCAGGGTTTCTGGACTCAGTTTAGCCTCTTTCTAGGTCCCACTCTTCTTGGTTCATCAGAAAAGGTTTCCTGTTTGGGGATGAGCAGAGCAATTAAAATAGAGACCCACCCCCATTCTTGCATTGGGAGGCCAGGGGTTGGGCTCCATTAAGCTCGCGGTATGGCTAGCAGGCCTAGTGAGGTCACCTCTGGCACCGCTGTGCACAGATGGTCCTTGTTACGCTCTTGTGGTTTTGCTGGTTGGCAATTCCAGAGACACACCATTTTGTAACTCTGGAGCGGATAGAGGGATAGGAGCCTTGGGAGAGCCTGAGACAGACAGGCTGACCTTGATCCCACCTCTCCCCATTCTCCACTCATGCTCCATCCTGGGGTCATCAGAGTGGGAGGCAAAGATTACAAGCTGTGCCTGCCTCCTCCTCTCCGTTCTGAAGGAGCTGACTACAACAGCAGTAGGACTGTTGAAAAGGACTGAAGCTTTCTGCACTAACTATCAGAAACATTTTTAGATTTCTTTTCATCATTTTTAATTATGTATGGGTATGTGTGTCCTTATGTGAGTACGTACACAAGGTTTCAGGCACCCGCAGAGGCTAGAGGCATCAAATCCCCTGGAGCTGGAGTTACAGATGGTTGTGAACTGCCTGATGTGGGTGCTGGGAACCAAACTTGGGTCCTCTGGAAGAGCAGGCATTGCTCTTAACTGCAGAGCCATCTCTCCAGCCACTGGAGATGGTTTGTAGTGAATATTTTTAACACAGCAATAACTTTTCTTGTGTGAACCACCACCAAGTGGGTGACCAGCCAGCTCTGCCCAGGCAGATACCTCTCTCAAGGGCTCCTCCTCCCTCTCTTTCTCTCCTCAGCCTTGTTTACCATGGGCGGAAATGCAGATGGACAGCCCTGCAAGTTCCCGTTCCGCTTCCAGGGCACCTCCTACAACAGCTGTACCACTGAGGGCCGTACAGACGGCTACCGCTGGTGCGGCACCACGGAGGACTACGACCGAGATAAGAAGTATGGCTTCTGCCCCGAGACGGGTGGGTAACCGTGCCTCTCTCTGCTTCCCAGTGGCAAGCAAGCGCTTTGCTGTTTAATCCTCACTTGTTCACCTACAGCGTCTTTCCCCAAGATTAGCTGCCAGTACCACATGAGCCTGGGAATCAGCTGATGCAGTTGTGCTGTTGATTTCTGGCCAGACTGTGCGTAAAGGCTCGTCTTTTAGGGCCGTGTGTTGAGACCATCAGCTTGCTCACCCCTCTGTGTGTCTGGACTTTCTGCTCCCATCTACAGGGGTCCAGTCCTGGACTCTGAACTGTGGTTTCCTGGGTATAAAGCTTGGCTCTAGCATATCTGCTCAGCAATCTCTTCAAGCCTCAGGTTTCTCATCTATGACATGTTACTATAGGGTCTCTACTGTGCTGGGGTTGTTAGTGGAGGTGAATAGAATGGGTCGGTAGCCAGTGAGTGCATGCTAATGTCAGTGTCTTGTCTCTGTTTACTGGTAGTGGCCTCAGATCCTCTGCTGCCCCTTGACCTGTATCCTTACCCCACAGCTATGTCCACTGTGGGTGGAAATTCAGAAGGTGCCCCATGTGTCTTCCCGTTCACTTTCCTGGGCAACAAGCATGAGAGCTGCACCAGTGCTGGCCGTAGTGATGGGAAGGTATGGTGTGCAACCACAGCCAACTACGATGATGACCGGAAGTGGGGCTTCTGTCCTGACCAAGGTATGAGGCCCCGGCCTTTGGGTAAAGACACTGGACACTCCTCCATACCTGAGCTGGAACATTCTGAGGCCCAGACTGCTTTCGGCATAGACATTGTCCCCGTATAAGATACCCCCATTGTTCCTTCAGACCTCCACAGTGGAGACTCTGCTCAGTCCTAGGGAAGCCAGATTCCCTGCTTAGGCCCAGCCAATTCAGGCAGACACTCACACAGCCTCTAAAATGAGACCCTATTACCAGGCACCGATCCTGAATGGGTATCAGGAGTGCTATTTCCTTTCTTGCCTTCCACTCCAGCTATCCCTCCATGCAGGACTGTCATTACCAGGAGACATTCAATGACCTTATTGTTGTCAGGACTATGAGCAGGTGCTTTGGGCCTAGCTTTCAAGGGCCTAGAGGCACAGGGCTTTAGTTTTTAGGTAGTCCAAAATGTTCAGGTAAGGGGACGGGTCCAATACCTGCCAGAATTAGGCAGGCCTCTGTTCCAGTTTGATTTTTGTTGTTGTGAATAAACACTTAGGGGGAAAAGGGTTATTAAAAGGCTTACACTCCCAGGTTACAATCTATCATTGAGGGAAGTCAAAGCAAGAACTTATGGCAAGAACCTGGTTGCAGGAACAGTGGCAGAATACCACTATCTAGCTCACAGGCTCTTGCTTAGCTGGCTTTCTCACACAACTCAGGATACCTACCTAGGGAATAGAGCTGCCCACAGTAGGCCGTGTTTCTGCATCAGTTAATGAATGATAAGACAGTTCTTCATGGACATGCTGGGAGACCAAGCTGATGAAGACAACTACTCAACTGAGAGTTTTTAGTGATGATTCTAGGCTGTGTTTCATGGATGCTTAGTGCTAACTGGAACACTCTTTCCTTCTGCTAATGTAGTTGTTTTTTTCCTGTAATGAGGTGGATGTTGGTGAATGCCAGAAGCTGGCCAAATGAGGTTTTCTTAGGGTTTTTTTTTTCTTTTTTTTTGCCCACCGAATGCTATGCCAGGAGATATGCTGACATCCCTGCTCTGTGCTACTTCTGCCTAAGGTGGGATCCCCATCAATGTGGAGTTTGCGGCCCCTCAGGCTGCCATGAATAAAGCATAACATACTGGTGGATTAAAACAACAGAAACTGATTTTTTTTCCTGATTCTGGAGGCTGGAAGTTTAAATCAGAATGTTCCGTCAGGGCCTGTGTCACTTCATTGCCTGCTCTCGTCATTGCATGTCCATCTGCACCAGTCCCTTTGTCTCTCTTCCTCTGAGGTCGTGGTCCACAGCGGGTTAAGTCAACTGCAATGTGGTGGCAGTTTTAACTTACTCGTTATTTGAGACAGGGTTTCACTATGTAGCCCAGATGGATCTCAAGCTCACAATCCAAATGCTTCAGCTTATCAAGTACTGGGATTATAGATAGATAACACCACTCTTGGCTCTAGCTTTCATTTGAGTGTGTGTGTGTGTGTGTGTGTGTGTGTGTGTGCAGGTTTTTGTTGTTGTTGTTTTGGTGTTTTTGTTGTTGTTTTCTTTTTGTTCTTGTGTGTGAGATAGTGGGGCCCGTGGGATAATCACAAGAGGGTGTGGCGCATGATTTACCTACTGTTCCTGGCCAAGCCTGAGCAAGCCATGCAGGAATGGAGTTGCTGGCATACAGTAGGCAAATGATATATCATCAAGCCACATTCCCAGGGGAATGTATCTGTTTTTTCTTCCTCTCTTTCCTGGGAAGAAACAGTGAATCTCTGAGGCCAGACTATCCCTCTTGTTCCCCATCTTTGAGATCCGGAGCAGCAGGTTTTATGTCAACTCTACAAAAAGCCAGAAAGCGTGGTTTTTAACAGAGAGAACTTGAAGTAGACGCTCGCTCCTTCTGTCTTCCTCATACCACATACAGCCATCACTGGGAAAGGGCAAGCGTGTGTCAGCTGACCTACTCAAAAGCAACAGCATTCTCTGACCAAGAATGAAACCTTCCAGAACTGTTAGCCCCACCCTGGAAATGTCCCCCCAAAATCTCTTTCATATGAGACAAGTCTTCATGCCTGTGTGTCCTCTCTCTCTCTCTCTCTCTCTCTCTCTCTTTCTCATTCTTCCCCATATCCTTGCTTTGGCACTCAGGATATAGCTTGTTCCTTGTGGCAGCCCATGAGTTCGGCCATGCTATGGGGTTGGAGCACTCACAGGACCCTGGGGCTCTGATGGCTCCTATCTACACCTACACCAAGAATTTCCGCTTATCCCATGATGACATCAAAGGGATCCAGGAGCTCTATGGTAAGCATCAGCTTGAGGGCCTTTGGGAGTAGAGGTGTCTTTGAGTATCCCACAGCCTTGGTGGGAGGACACAGAAGTGGGAAATGGCAGATCTCATCTAGCTAGAATGACTAGGGACATTGGCAAGGTGAGTACGTGAATCGTGCCTGGTCCTCAGCCTTAAGAGTAATGCTCCAAAGGACTTCTCAGACAGCCCTGTCCTTTCTAAACACTAGCTATGAGTGCCTTTCTTGGTTCCCCATCTTTAGGGATTTCCATGTGCTAGGTATGTGAACTGAGGCTGGAAAAAGGCAGTCTGTCTGGCCCAAGGTCAACTGGGTTTCAGGCGCCAGGTAGGGTTTAGGATCCGGAAATGTGAGGTGCCCACAGGGCAAGCTTTTCTCTTATATGGAATGGGAATGATGACACCGGAATGAACATTTCTAGTGTTTTAGTTTGTGATAGAAACATAACAAATACCAGTTCCTGCAATTAATGATTGCCTATTGGTCTTTGCTTTCCGCAAGGCTAGAGGCTAAACAGCCAGTCCATTTCTTAAAAAAACAAACAAACAAACAAACAAAAAAACCTATTATATATTTGTCCTCGTGCTTCCTGGACCAGGTAAAGTAGTTAAAGTGGAACTTGGTAGGGAAGCCTAGGGACACCTAACACAGCTGTAGACAGTGCGGTGTGACATTGCAGTTCTGTCACCACTGCCACATGCCAGCTGAAAAAGATGCAGCTGCTCACCTCTCTAGACTCACATGTTCATCATCATGAGGAATAAGAAAGCAAATCCTTCAGAAAGTGCCACGGCCCTAGAGTGGCCCCAGCAGGCCTTCCGTGTTCTTAAAGTAAGAGACCAGATGAGATGGAGGCTTCTCTTAGTTTCGCCACTCTAAGCTCAGGCTGCACTGAGGCGTACATCTCTTCTTTGTAGCCTTAATGGGTTCAGAGAGCAGTATTGGGGCCCAGCCTGGAGATGAGAAGCCTTGTTGCAGAGGAAAGAGTCTAAGGCCAGGTGTCTCCCCACTCTCCAGGGCCCTCCCCCGATGCGGATACTGACACTGGTACTGGCCCCACCCCTACACTGGGACCTGTCACTCCAGAGATCTGCAAACAGGACATTGTCTTTGATGGCATTGCCCAGATCCGTGGCGAGATCTTCTTCTTCAAGGACAGGTGAGTGAGGCTCCCTTTGCCTTTCTTACTGTCTGGCCTCTGTCCCTTCCTATTGTTCTTGTGTTCCCATTGTTTGTTGAGGCTCTCATGGGGGCTCACAGAAAGACTGTCAGTAAGAAGTTTTTGCTCTGTGTCTCACAACCCACAGATCTTAGTGGCTTATCACACGGTGGTTCTCAAATTCTGGGTCTACCAAGTGTCTAAGCTCTTAGAGCAGTAGGCATAATAGCAGTCAGTCCCTGCATCAGTCCTTCTCAATAGTGAATACTTCTGGCAGATGACAGAGTGTAAGAGGCCAAATCAAACAATACACACCCATTGAAGACTTCATGCATGTCATATCTGAGATTCTTTTACCGATGAAACCAAAGAACATGGCTAAGCTGGGCATCCCAGTCAACTCCAGCTCAACCCTAAAAGGTAGACTGTGTTGTTATGTAGTGAGGCACATCCAGACATGATTCTAGAGAGAAGAATGGAGGGAAATTAGCCAGTCTTCCATTGGCCTTCTCCCAGAACGCTATTCATCTCAAGTGGCCAAATTGCTGTCTGTATAGATAGCAAGCGACCACAGGTTGAGAGAGATTATTTCCTTCATTCTACAAGGTCATAACAAATGGCTGAGAGTCACCATAATGTCCTGGCTTCCTGAGCAATCGCAAAGTACTATCTAGGACCTCATTAAAAAGTCTATCTATCCATCCATCCATCCATCCATCCACCCACCCATCCATCCATCCATCAATCCATCATCTATCTGCAGCCATTCCTACTTTCAACTATTCATCTATCTATCTATCTATCTATCTATCTATCTATCTATCTATCTATCAATCATCTATCTACCAAGCATCTTCTGTCCACCTATTTTCCATTATCCTTCAATGCATTGATCCAATTATCAACTTAGCCAGTCATGAAGTATACTAGTTAGAAAAATGGGCTATGATAGGTAGAATTCTACATTAGCTATCTACTAGTGTAGATGGGTTGTATGATCATCAGTAGGTTAGTTGTTTTTTTTGTTCCTCAGTTTGCCCATCTCTAAGATGGGGCTAATATTAACCCTATCAAATAGAGCAGATGTAAGGATTAGATGAGTTTGGTGCTTAGAATAATGCCAGCACAGAGTATGTTTGTTCAGGCCTATTAGCTGTCATCCTTTTTTTTTTTTTAAACTTTTTGTTGATTCTTTGTGAATTTCACATTATACTCCCCAATCGCAACTCCCAATCCCTCCGCATCGGCCCTCTGTCCTTGCGACTTCCCCCCTTTAAAGAAAACGGAAAATAAAAAGATTAAAACAAGCAAACAAAAATAAAATTGATCTCGCCATTGAAGCTGCGGCGTGCCACACCATCCACAGTGTACCCTTTTCCTCAAACATGGCCACTTGAAATGCCCATTGCGATGAGTCGTCGGTCTGCTTAGAGCCTGGCTTCTGTGACACCATCCGTACTGGATCCTCACCAGGACTCCTCTCACATATCTTGCTGCTGCCCCGTGTCTTGGAGATCCCGCAGTTTTGGATCTATAGGCGAGTTCCTTCACAAAATCCAGCAGTTCATAGATGAGGTAGATGTTGAGGTGGGCCAACTCAAAGTCCTGGGTCTTGGCCTGGGTGGTAGCTGAGTTGGTCAGTTTGCTGGCTCTCCCAGAACCCAAGCCACTGGCACCAGCTATTTCATGCCACTCTGGCAAGGGGCAGGGCCAGCTCACTCCTGTCTTTTGTTTCCTTTTTTCTTCCTTCCTTTCCTCCCCCCCTTTTTAAGACAGGGTTTCTCTGTGTAGCTTTGGTGGTCCTGGACTTGCTTTGTAGACCAGGCTGGCCTTGAACTCACAGAAATCCACCTGCCTCTGCCTCCTTGAGTGCTGGGATTAAAGGCATGTGCCAATACGCCCACCTTCTTGTCATTTCTTAACTAAGCCACTTTATCAGTCTTATACCCTATGGCATTCACAATACTGCATGGACTAATTCTTTTTTTAAAATTAATTTAATCTCTTTACAGTCTGATCCCAGACCCCTTCCTCCTCTCCTTCCAGTCCTGCCCTCATGTCCCTCTCTTCTCATTTTCTTTCTCCTTTTTCTCAGAGAAGGTGAGGCCCCCAAGGAATATCAAACTATGCAGATACCTCAAGTCACAGCAAGATAAAGCCCATCCTTTCCCACTGGGGCCTGACACGGCAGCCCTTATTTGCTGTCATCTCAATAGGTCGTTTTAGCCTCTATTGTGCCTTAGTAGGTTTTGATGATAGTTACAGAAGGGAAGATTATACTGGGGATAGAGTGTCTAGGTAATGTCACATCACTGTTTTCAAAAGGGCACAGGCCTCCTCAAATGGAGGTGAGTCTAGTGACAGGAGGGCAGGTTGGGAATCCTAAAGCAGAGACAAAAGTTTGTGACGTATATGGGTGGGGTAGAGAGCCCAGGGAGATTATTCCTTGAATAAAAGATACTCAAGGAAAGTCTTTTTTTTTTTTTCCTGTTCCACAAAGAGCATCTCTTCAGACATAAAGACATGTGGGATATGTGTGTTCTGCTTTTTACAGAGTCTATCACTATCAGTAGGTGATAACAAGAAGGTAGAGAGAGAAAAATAACACTTAAAATGCGGCAAGTCAAATATAGTAAGTCTCAGTGCCCAAATCAGTTTTAGTGATTGTAGATGCTGCTGCTGTTCTGCTGTACCTTGTAGAGAGGGGAAAGAGGTAAGTGGGGACTCTATTTTCCAGCAGGGTACCCAGCTTGGAGAACTTGCCATTGTGGAAACTGTGACCATGTATGGAGCTGTCAGAAGTGGGAATCTCAGAAACAGCCCAGGTCTAGGCCAGGGCTGGTTTTGACACTGCACCACACTTTCTATCAAAAAGACTTCAGTAGAGTCACTGAATTGGCCTGTGAATAATTACCCATTCTCAAATACTGGTTTGGGAATGTCCTCCCAGACTCTGGGAGGGCAGGGCAGTGCTACTGGATCATTGAATACGGATTTCAGAATTGTCCGTGGACTTAAATCCAGGCACTGCCATAATCCGAGTGTCCTTTGGCAAATAAGGATCATGCCCCTGCCTTGGGTATGCTGCTTCAAGTAAGAGAGCTACCACCATGTTCTGCCCCAAATTAAACAGTGGAAGAAAAATTTGTCTTTCATGGTATAATGTTGAGGGGTAAAGCTGCTTTAAAGGGCAGAGAAGGATCAGTGACTTGTCTTTCTCCATTGATAGCTTTGCATGGCCTGTAGGTCAAGACTGGGTCCCAAGAGGACTGGCAATGGCAGTTAGAAGCACAGGCTTCCCACATCCAGCCAAAGTGTGGGATGAAGTGGGAAGGAGAGAGGGGGAGAGAGAGAGATGAATGGAGGCAAGATACAGGTCTATCTGTTCAATCTTGTCACGCTGATGTAAGACACGTGGCAAGGAATGTTAGGCTAACCAACTTTGGCAAACAGCATCACCCTGAAGGCTTGTTCAAACAGAGTCTCAGTCCTAAGTCAGAGAACTCTGCTCTCTACAGGTCAGGTCTAGTAATTTTGCATTTCTAATGAATGCAAGCCCAGGTTCTGCTGGGGCTGCTGGTCTGAGGACAGCAACTTGAGAACCAATAGCTTACTCATGACCAACCCAACCACTCAAGGCTGCATACAGCTGAGGACAGCTTTTGTTCTGTAACTCAATGGCAAGTCATGTTACAATGTCAAAAGGTTGGAGACACCTGGGACTAATTTCTAGGATGAGGATGACATCATGGGCAGCAGGGGCTCTTGGTGCTGAAGGGTGATGATAAGTGTGGAGCTGAGAGGAGGGGGTGGGGTCAGTTATGAGGGTCACATTTTACAAGGCTCATTCATAAAAGTGCTTCTTGCTTGGTATGCCCTCAGTAAATGTAGCTTTTATTTTGCCAAAGCACACAGATTCATCCCACTTAAATTCTGAAAATGCTTTGGAGTGCGTGCCATTAATTGCTGCCTTTGTGGGCTTCTAATCAAATAGGACAGATGAGATAAACGGCAGCTGCTCTAGGCTCGCAGGGCTGGTGTTGAGAGGCGCCAAGGAAGGAAACACAGTAAACACAGACAGTCTGTGGTGGCCTCCTGGAGAAGGTGTGGGCAAGAGTGAAGGGTGGCTTCTCACTCAGCTCTGGCATCTTGCAGAACAATGTCCCTCCTATTCCTCAGTGTCTCTCTCCAACCTCCTTTTGACCTTACCTCCTCCCAATGCCCTACCACATTTCCAGGAGGGTTTGCTGGTTAGAACTGCAGAGTGCCAGAAGGAAGGTGTGACCTCTTGTGTCTCATTCCTGTCTCCAGGTTTATCTGGCGGACAGTGACACCACGAGACAAGCCCACAGGACCCTTGCTGGTGGCCACATTCTGGCCTGAGCTCCCAGAAAAGATCGATGCTGTGTACGAGGCTCCACAGGAAGAGAAGGCTGTGTTCTTCGCAGGTATGTTGGAGAGTCTAGCTGGCCCTCAGTTCCCATTTAACTGGATCCTCCTCCAAAAGCAGTTCCCAGGCATTTATAGGTAATGCAGCTCCTTTAAGGATCGGTCTCAACATCATTTCCCAAAGCACAGAGTCTTAGTTAGGGTTCCTATTGTGCTAAAACACTATGGTCAAAAGTAACCTGGGTAGGAAATGGTTTATTTAAGTTTACAGTTGTAGAGTAGCTTGAAGGCAAGTCAGGGCAGGAACCCAAGGAAGGAACCGAGGCAGATGCCAAAGATGAGCACTGAACACCGACCTGCTCCCCATCACTTGCTCAGCCTGCAGGACAACCTGCCCAGCGGTGGCCCCACCCACAGAGGGCTGGAACTTCCCACACCCATCACTAATTAAGAAAATGCCGCTCAGGTTTGCCTACAGACCAATTTTAGGGAGGCATTATTCTCAGTTGAGTCCCCCTTCCCAGATAACTCTAATTTGTGTCAAGTTGACAAAACAAACACACAAACAAACACCCCCCCCCCAAAAAAAAAAAAAAAAAACCCTGGCCAACACACATTAGATTTATCTGGGAGATGGGTCTAGATACCCAGCATCAACTAGTCCCAACCAAAGGAGAACATTTCCTCTCCCTTTGATCTTTGGTTCCTTTCCCAGAAGAAAACAGAATATTCTTTCAGAGCCTATGTTTCCCTAACAACTTCTCAGGGCTAGAGGCTTGGCCAGTAGCTGCTGCTTTAGTAAGACGTGTGTGTGTGTGTGTGTGTGTGTGTGTGTGTGTGTGTGTGTGTGCGCGTGTGCGCGCGCGCGCGCGCACAAGTGCATGCATGTGTGGATTGAAACAGGTGGGGTCTCATGCAGTTCAGACTGCCCTTAAACTTGCAGTGTAGCCAAGGGTGACCTTTACCTTATGATCCTCCCTCTTCTCAAGTGTTAGGATTAAGCATTTGCCATCACACCTGTTTAATTTGATGCTGTGGGTGGAATTCAGAGCCTTGTGCACACTAGGCAGTTACTCCACTACCCAAGCTACATCCCTAAACCCAAACTTTTTAAAACATTGTGTATGTCTGTGTGTGTGTGTGTGTGTGTGTGTGTGTGTATGTGTGTGTGTGTGTGTGTGTGTTGGGGAGGGAGGTTTCTCACAGAGGCTAAAAGCATTGAGCCCCTGGGGCTGGAGGTACAGGCATGTCTTAGTTAGTTAGAATTTCTACAACTATGATAAATCATTCCAAAAGCAACTTGAGAAAGAAAGGGAATATTTTACCTAATATTCTATCATCCAGAGAAATCAGGGCAAGAACTCAAGGCAGGAACCTGGAGGCAGAGCTTGTAAGCTGCCCAACCTGGGAGTCTAACTCCAGTCTTCAGGAAGAGTAGGAAGCACTCATAACTACCAAACCATCTCTGCAGGGCCCAGCCCTCCAGTTTTAAAATAAAATCTAAAAAAACATATATTATTTGAATAGAGGTAGTTAAAGTAGAGTAACATCTGAAGCTAGGATAGAAACAAACTGTTCAATGCATGCTATTTAGACTCCAAGCAAAGCATCATTTTCACTAGGCTTGTTACTTTTATCTTTGTTTTGAGACAGGGTTTTATGATGTAACTCAGGCTGGCCCTGCATTTGCTATGTAGCCCAGGCTGGCCTTGAAGGCTCAGCTAAGATTTGAGCACTTACTGTCCCATATATGGACGGAGCTTCCACCTCCATCCTTTGATGACTATGGGTCCTGGCCAGGCTAACTTTGGCTCCCAGGGCATTTTATACGGGCTAGAAAGAGGGGCATCTTGTGGCAGGTATGACATCGGCTGCTTATCTTTCACTTATCCTCCTTTGATTGGCTCCTTTATAACTAACTTATAACTAACTTATAAACTAACTTTGTAAAACTTATAACTAACTTATAAAACCCTGTGTATATGAGATGGGGATGTCGTTCAGTTGGTAGAATGCTTGTCTAGCATGTACAAAGCCCTGGGTTCAATTCTCAGCCCTTCAGAAGTCACATGTGGGGCAGTCTGCCTCCTTGTAATGCCAGCACTCAGGAGAGAGAGAGGTAGGATGATCGGAAGTTCACAGCCAGCCTAGGTTACACTTGAATCAGAACAAAGTGAAACAAAACATGATCTTATGTGTGAGGCTTGCTTCTAGGTACAGAGCTGGGATATGAGCAGAACACCATTTCCTGTTGAGAAATAGCCAGTAGGCTCTTCTGCCAGAGAGATGATGGGAGGGACAGGTTGGCTTGAGGCATATTCCCACAGCCACCAACTCATCTTCTGTCCCTTCCCTCAGGGAATGAGTACTGGGTCTATTCTGCCAGTACCCTGGAGCGAGGGTACCCCAAGCCACTGACCAGCCTGGGGTTGCCCCCTGATGTCCAACGAGTAGACGCTGCCTTTAACTGGAGTAAGAACAAGAAGACGTACATCTTCGCTGGAGACAAGTTCTGGAGGTAAGGGTGGGGGGGGATAGGTACCAGGTAGAAGGGCAACATGGCTAGTTTCATGGGGCAGGACACTCTTGGCTTGATATTACAGTGTGGGTAGACATCCCCTCCCTGGTCTCCAGCCTGCCAGGCAGCAGGCCCTCCAAGAGAAGTCAGCACAGGATGCAGCCTCCTTGTGACACTGTTGGGGTTATTCCACAGACTCCCCTTCCCTTTTTCAGCTGCCTCTGATTGGGCCGGAAGAGAGCTAGTCTAGATCTCCATGTTACGGCAGCTCACAGAAAAGCTGGTAATACAGTCACAGATAACACAGATAATAGCGCTACTCTTGCCACTGTGGACCAGGTGCTACTGTAAGGCCTGACGAAGTATGAATTAATGTGTTTCCTGCTTTTCACATGCAGAAAACAGTTCCAGAAGATTAAATAATTAGTTTTCAGTTCCCACAGCTATGGGGTGGCAACCGGGCGGTCTGGCCTTGGAGAATGCCCTAGTCTTCCTAATGCCGTCCGTCCGTGGAAACCCAAGGAGAGAAGAGAAAGGCAAGGCAGCCCAAAGAAATGAGGAAGACAGCACCCAAAACAGGCCCTGGAAAGCCACAGGCGCCCTCCCCCAGGTCTGCAGCTGGCGCCCTCCCCCAGGTCTGCAGCTGGCTGGCTAGTGGTGCAGACTGGCAGGGGAGCAGTTTCCAAGTAGGTGGCTCTGCTCCAAGTCCTCTGGAGAGAAGGCTCTAGCACTGAGAGGCAAAGGTCCAGATGGGGGCCCCAGAGAAGGCAGTATGTAAGTGTGCTGGCCTCGAGATAAGCTTAAAATTGCTTCTCTCCAGTGCCCCCTTCACGTCACCCTCTGGGTCCTTTGATAAGTGAGGAAAAGGGTGGGCAGACAAAAGCTCCATTCCTTCCCCCTTCTTCTGTGGCTGTGATTGTTTCAAGTCTCAACCAGGAACTTACTGCTGGAACTCCCAGGCTTTGTCTGGTATCCCTGAACAAACAACTCTGCTTCCTTCAGGGCTCCTGTCTCCTCCTCCCCTTCTTCCCCTCACCCCACCAGCAACTGCCTTGCTTCAGAGGCTGTTTATGTCCTGGGGCTGCCCATGGCAGGGTGGAATTCTGAAAGCACTGCTGAGATACTTAGCAAGCTAAGCTGATTGGTATCTCAAGCCTCAAGAAGAAAAACAGTCTGTCAGGAAACTGTCGAGCAGACCTTAGGCCCATGGGCTCTGGAACACCCTCCCGCATGCCCGCATGCTTTGAATGGCATCTAAGGCTCTCGAGTTTAAGCACATTCTGAATCTTTAAATCTGAGTGTGTCAGGCAGTAGGGGTGGAGGCTCACAGACGCGTGATTCAGGAATCTCAGAATCCCAAAGCCTAGGTGATTCCCCTGCACTGTGTGGGAAGTACTCTCACAGTTTCCCTCCTACACGCCCTATGCGTGTACACATGCAAGAACAGGCATGTCCCATGTGAACAAGAGTGTGCATGCATACACAGAGTCAAAGGCCCAGAAATGTTGCTGGTTTCTTCTAATCTTCTTTCTAGATAAGGCCTCTAACTCTAGATGCCAGAACAGATACCATCCTCTGCCTAGGAAGCTCTATGAGCCTTTGGTAAAGAGGTTAGAGTGGAAATGGTTAATCCCAGGTTCTGGACTGTGCATGCAAAGAAGACAGGTCCGTCCCAGGAGAGGTAGCACAAGAACTTGAGACACCTTCTTGGGCCATGGTTGCAAGAAAAAAAGAGAGAGTCTGGAGGGGCTGGGGTGAGCTGCTGTCCTCAGAATGCCAGGATGTACTCAGCTCCTGCCTTTGGAAATTCCCACTGAGGCCACAGCCTTCCAGACCCTTGCTTTGCTGCAGGTGGAGGCTGTGCAAATCATCTGGATGGATTTCTCATTTAATGTAGATATTACTGTAAGTGTCATTTTCTGGACCCAGGATACTAAGGATGAAGTGGGTCAAGGACATACGGAGAGAACCTGGGACACAGATGTCTCTTCTGGCACTCAATATTTCACCTTCTACATCTGTAGATAAACAGTCAAGATGATAAGGCTAGAAGGACAGGGAGGAGATAGCACTAGAGTCTTTCTGGATGAAAAGAACTTGATGGAAACAAGTTGTTTCCTTTATCTGAACCTCAACTATCCAGTGGGGTTGATTACTGACCTCACCTTATGTTAAGGGGAGTCCTTGAAGCTTGGGGTCCATATCTCTGGACCATTGTAATTCCAGGGATTTATAGTGGGCTCAGTAGAGGTCATACAGATGAGAGAATGGAGATTTTGAGCTAGGGGACTTGATTTTGGTAACTTGGGCCATGAAGAAACAGCCTTTTCAAGAAATTGCGTTCAGATGAAGCTGTGGTTATGAAGGTGTCTCTGACAGTTCTTGGAGTTGAAAGGGAAACCCCTACAAAAGACAGCCTCAGGGTCAGCCCCTGAGGTTGGAGCCCCCTATGGAGGTGGTAGGGCTGGCTGCTAGGGAAAAGGAGAGCCATCCAGGATGCTGTGTAGAGGAAAGAAAGCTTGACCATTACCAGGATGTGATAGAAAACGATCTGCTTAGACGTTTCTTCCATGAGTGTGAGGTTTGGTCTTGTTTCCTGGGATAAACAGACACACACTAGGAGCTTTTGCAGTGTTAAATCTGTATAATATAACTAGTAGGCTGAGGGGAAGAGGAAGGGCAGCAGCAACTAAAAAGTTCTCCAAGGAATGTAAAATATCAGCTAGGGAGAAGGTATGCTCAAGGTATTTTCCTTAAATCTGGGGCCCAGCAGTACATGTACCCTGACAGCTGGGACTGGGCCTGGGACTGGGCGGCATGCAGTCTGCCCAGTGACTCATGGCCTTGAGCTCACACCCACCACATTGCATTGTAACCTCAACTTTCGGAGCCTTGGTTAACTCCCAGACATGGCTTGTCATCTCCGTTTCTCAGATGAAGCAGCAGCAATTTGTTCAAGCCACACATTTAAAGAATTATGGGTCTGTCTGGTCCGTTGGTCCGTTGGTCCGTTGGACTGCAGTGGGGAATCAAAGGTTTAAGGGAGGGCCTGGAGAGATGGCTCAGCAGTCAACAACAGTGTCTGCTCTTTCCCAAGTCCTGGGTTCAATTCCCAGTACCCACATGGTTCATAGCTGTCTATAACTCTGGTTCTCTAACTCTGGTTCCAGGGGATCCAACTCCCTCTTCTGCCTTTTGGGGGAACTCATATGCATTGGTGTGCAGACATACATGTAGGCAAAACACCCAACAACATAAAAAAAAACCCTCAAAATTAAAATTTTAAAAGTTTTTAAAGAAACTACCAATTCCCAAATCCCTGCTGAATACCAGACACGGGAGAGACACAGGCATGTGCTTCTGGTGGCAGTCACGCTGGCAGTTTCTCTTGGGGATTGTCTCAAGGCATGCGATTAGGAAGTAGTAGTATGGGATTCAGACCCAGGTCTTCTCTAGACTCTTGGCAATTGCTGCCCGCTTCCCTCTGCTTCTCCCTGTCTCGTCCCTAGATACAATGAGGTGAAGAAGAAAATGGACCCGGGCTTCCCCAAGCTCATCGCAGACTCCTGGAATGCCATTCCCGATAACCTGGATGCAGTAGTGGACCTGCAGGGCGGTGGTGAGCTACCCAGGCCTCTGTTTGCGCTCTAGGATTGCCTCCCCCCTGCCAGGAAACGGCTCCTCGTTGGCACACACTCCAGCGGGGCCCGTCGTGCAGTCCAAGAAAACAAACCAGTCCCTTCAGCTCGGTGCTGGGAAGGCAGCCAGCCCACTGACCCTGGCAACCCCAGCCAAGCTCCAGGCTGTAAGACCTAGAAAGGCCTCTTCCAGCTGCAGGGCCTGGAGCCACTGTAGGGGAGGGCTGGGAGGCCTCCAGGGGCCAGGATGGTGGCCCGCTGCCCTGGATTCATTCTGGGGGCTGAGCCAAGCTGTACCAAGTTACTCAGAAGGCCTGTGACCACCTCCTACCAGCAGCACGGCTTCACTTGAGACAAGGCAAACTCTGTCATGCACCGATGCCCAACCCAGCAGCTTGTTTCTTTGCAGTGTCAGCACAGGGCAGCATTAGGAATTTGAAAACCGTATTTCCAGGGAGGCTTCTGTGACTCTCTAGGGTCCTGGAAATGGCGTCAATTTAGCTTTCATGGCTTTTTAGAAGAGGCTTTTATTCAGTTCCACAAGTTTTGCGCGAAGGCGTGTGTGTGCGTGCGTGTGTGTGCGTGTGTGTGTGTGTAATTGGTATATTGGTATGTAGTATATGGTGTGTGTATGTGTGTGTTTGTGGGGGGGGCGCATGCTCTTACCATCTGCAGATTTCATAGCCCTGAGCTCTAATGCAGAAGGAAAGCAGTGTATAATCAGGTGCCCTACTAAGGGTCACCTTCAATCAAACTTCTGTCAAGTTCCTACCGTGAGCCGGGGTCTTAAATGGGGAAACAGGGTCTGTGTGTTTGGAGGAATTCGGACTTTACAAAGGCTCTAGAGACCAGGAGGGGAAACAGTAGAAAATAGAGTGTGCATCTGTACCTACATCCTGTGTGTGTGTGTGTGTGTGTGTGTGTGTGTGTGTGTGTGTGTGTGT